CCATTTTTTTTTTTTTTGCTTTTTGTTTTTTAAATCTTTAGAAATTAAACACAACTTTTAACATAGAATACTTGAACAGTGATGAGTGTAGCCCTATGTATCAATACTGTTGTACAAATTGGAGGTGGGTGGCTCAGTCCAGAGCTGATCACCCTGACATCAATCCATGGCACCTGAGAGCACCTGCTGTCATACCTGCCTCTAACATGACCTTCACTACCTTCAGCGGCAGGATTACATGAGACCCTTTCACATTCCTGTACACGAAGGAACCCAACCTGGCAGTGAGGGGGGTGAACCCTGGGCACTCCCATCACTGGCACCTCCCTCATCAATCCCAGGTCCTCACTCACCAGTAACACAAACCCCCAACTGCCCAGGAACTTGAGAGGGTGACACCTAGAGTAGCACACGGAAGTGTCCCCACTTCTCCCTCTCCATTCCTGGCAGAGGAAACTCAAAAAATCTTTTGAATATTTTTCTCTTTTTGGAAAGCCACACCATCACATCAACTCTGAAAAAGAAATCCAATCGTGTTCACTGGGTTGACACCCGATCCACCTTAGTTTTCTATGCATGTTGCTGGAAATCAGTATATCATCCTCAGGATCCGTTCTTCCAGCTGACCACCTCCTTCCTGTGAACTACCTTAGCAGTGCCTTTGGCACACAGCTTTCAGACCATCTCCAAGTTCCCTAGTACTGTAAATTTTGCCACTAAGCAAGTGAAGGATAGGCAAGGGAGGATTTGCTGACAGCTATTCAGAAATGAGTAATGACAGGAAAGGAATGTCACAACAGAGTTTAAATGAGCAATGTGAGCAATTTGAACATGTGCCCTGGTGGGGTGAAGATTCCCAGAATGGTAGGCAAGATAAAGATTCACCTCTTTTTATTACACAGCTTTGTTCTAAAGTCTAATTGAGGACTGAACTATCAAGTGTTCCCACTTCTACAGGCAAATCAAAAAAAAGGAATTCCTCTACTACAGGTCCCTCAGGATATGTGCCTGTGAAGAAAATGAGCTCGGAGACTCTGGATGCAATGTGTCCTAAAGCCCAACTCAACTCTTAACTGCCTGTTTACACATCCGTGCTTCTGAGAACCAAGATCCAGCCACATAGGCACTGCTACCAGAAGAGGGTTGAGGTTAGCCAGGTGGTGTGGAAGAGGCCTCTCCTTTCACATCTGCTCATGGTGATGACATCAGGACCTCCATGGGCATCTCTACTCCATTCCTCAGCAGGCTATATCACAGAGCTCTGTTCCAAAACCAGGAGACTCGATGCAGAACCAGGAAATCCTGCCAAGTGGGGCAAGCATTAAAACCTTCATGGCTTACTGTGCAACGGGATCTGCAATGCCATCCACAGGGCTTCTGATTTTGGTGTGGGTCTCTTGTCCAGGAGCCTTGAAGGACTCATGGTGCCCACATTCAACCCTAATATGGTGTTTGCTTATGAAGCATGGAGGTTGTGATCAACTCTTGGTACACAATAAACTGGAAGTTTTAAAAAAGGAATTTAAAACAACCTAAAAATGGTTCATGTTGGTCTCCGTTGCCCAGACTGCCAGGGGAGTACACCTACTTGACCTGGGAAGGCTGTGGGGGTTGGGGAAGGAAGCCTCCATGATCAATCCAAGCCTTCAGTGTGTACCCAACACATGTGGGAAATCACCAGACAAGGGTCTTTTGAACCCAGTCTTTCTCCCTGGTCATGGAGGAGCCTCAATCCAAAGGAACCCCAGATTGAGGAAAGGCTGATATAAGGCTTGGGCCCCTCAAGTTCTGTTGCATTCAGTGTAACCCCCACCCCTCAGTCAGCAGGAGGCAGACTTGGCAACGGAAGCTAGCATCATAAAATGGTGCAGTAATAGAAGTAACTGGACCAGGAAGAGGAGGCATCTGCTCCAATGATGTCATAGCCATTGGCAGCAACAGGGGGGTGGGACTGGTCATGCAGCCGTGTGTCAGGAGTAATGATTGTAGAGGGGCGGGGCATGAAGAGTGCCATTCTGGAAACAGTGCTGTCGAGAAGCAATATACTCTGCGTAACTGATTGTCACCTTCTCACTTCGATACCTGTATGAGGAAATAAGCAAAGGTATTAGGAACCCCAAGCATCTCAGTGTGAAGTCTGCTCAGCAGAGAAAACCAAAAGCTTACCCCACAGTTTGAAAGAATAAAATGAAAGACCAAGAGCAATCTTACTTACAGAAAATGAAAGACGGCACAAGAAAACGATGCTGTTATTACAAATGAACAAGATGAAAAAGCACAACTACAGTTCACCCTGAGACTGTATCTCAGCACATCCCACCTCAAAATGCTACATGTGCTTATAATGGGCTGCTTGTAAGCAATCTGCTACCCACATCTGGATGAGAAATTTCAAGGTCAAATTACATGGGTGGCAGATTGGAAGATGACTGCACCAAAACCCAGTGTAAACTGCGTATCTATGTTCAGGTTAAAAATGAGATAAATTTGACAAAAATGCAACCTCAATTTGTAGAAGAGCAACAAACAAGTTATAACTAAAAGGGGCATAGATACCTAATTCTGGGTCAAATTCTGATGAAGCAGATTAATGGATCCTTGGCTATAGGTAGGTCTCAATCCCCAGATGAATATGCCATATCACAGGGTCATCAGAACAGAATTCATAGCACTTTGGCTTTGCTCTGGTGAGTTTGATCGATTTTCTGAATTCACTGGTAATTGGAGCCTTGAAGCCACCTTTTCTGAGCAAGGAGTCTATTGTCTGTATCTGATCCCAGTCTTGTTCCTTAGCCACCTCAGGTAAGTATGTGGCTGTGCGCTTGACACCTTTTTCATTGATGAATTCAATACGAATCCCATGCACCCCTACCTCCCAGTCCAGGTAATCACTGGCATCTTCAAAGTTAGTAAGGAGGGAGACAGAGCAGAAAAGTTTGGGCAGCTCCTCTCGGGTCAAGGGGGGAAATCGGCTGTCCTTAAGTGCACTGGTTAACGTATATTCCCTGAGTCCTGAATGAAGATTCATGGCTGAGAACGTCCCAATGCAGCCACAAAGCCGCTTGTCCCGCCCTGTCTTCCAGGTCACAAAAAGTGGATAGGGGTCATTGGTGAATCTAGGAAGTCGTGGCTGTGGGAAGCCATAGAGGTGACAGTAGAGTACATCAAAGCAGTAGCAGCACATCTCTGCAGTCACCACCAGATTTTTAGTGGTGTTGGCAGTTCCATTGGGCTGGGGGAGAGGGCTCAGTGCTCCGGATGCAGGATTCATTCGTGGTTTTGAGTCAGACCTATATTGGTAGCATGGATCATGATAAAAATGTAGATTGGAGTAACTATGTCTATTACAATCAACAAAGGTTTTTAAAATTACACCTGGGATGCTATCAAAGGAATAACTGAACAACTTAGCTCCAGCAACAAAATGGCTTGGGAGAATACGTTGGCATTAGATATGATTTTGAGTGAAAAGGTAAAGTCTGTGTAAGGCTGGGAGGACAATGTTGTCCCTTCATCTCTAACAGCTCTAGCAGGGACCATAACTAGGGACTCTCCAACATCTCAATGCCCTTGCTAATGAACTAGCAGAAAATTCAGAAATAGGTAACTCCTTTACTAATGTAATGAGATGGTTTTGTAAATGGTAGGTGTGCTGGATAGCTTTAGTGTCAACTTGACACACCTGGGTTGAGGGAGCCTCAATTGAGGAATTGTTTTCATTGGACTGGCCTGTGGCCATGTCCATGGGGCATCTTCTTGATTGTTGAGTGATGTGGAAGGGCCCAGTCCACTGTGGGTGGTGCCACCCCTGGGCAGCTGGGCCAATGTTGCATAAGAAAGCAAGCTGAGCAAGGGCCAGGGGAGAAAGCAAGCCAGTAAGTAGCATTCCTCCACGGCCTGTGCTCCAGCTCCTGCCTCCAGATTCTTGCCCTGAGTTCCTACCTTGGGCTCCCTGATGAACTGTGACCTGGGAGATGTAAGATAAAATAAACCCTTTTCTCCCCAAGTTGGTATTGGTCAGAGTATTTTGTCACAGCAATAGAGAAACAAACTAGGACAGTAGGGAATAATTACCTTGGTTTTAACATCCTTGATTATAATAAAGTCATGATTGTAGCAGAGTGTTGCATAAACACCTGTTCAAGGCTTAGTCCAAAGACTTACAGAAACAGTCTTGACTAAACAATACCTGGCTGCTTATCATAACAACAACCTGTTCTTATTAGAGACAACAGAAAAGAAAGCAAAGAAATGTTGCTAAAATTTGAAGACACATTGTCCAATGGTATAATAAAGAGGGGGATTTAAGGGAAATAATTACAAGGAATTCAACTTTTAAAAAATATTTATTTTTATGTGTATGAGTATATTGCCTGCATGTGTGTAAGTGCACCCATGTTGTGCAGTGCCCATGAGGTCAGAAGATGGTGTTAGATTCCCCTGGAACTGGAGTTGCGGATGGTTGTTAGGCGCCATGGGGGTGCTGGGAATCAAACCTGGGTACTCTGCAAGAGCAGCCAGTGCTCTTAGTTGCTGAGCCATCTCTCCAGTTCTGTGGCCCCCCTCCCATTTATTATTATTATTATTTTTTGAGACAGGATCTTACTATATATCCTTGGCTGACCTTGAACTCACTATGTATGTAGACCAGGCTGGCCTGGAACTCAAAAAGATCTGCCTGCCTTTGCCGCCCAAGTACTGGTAAATCTTATCAAAAGAATGATCACAGGGATGTAACCTTTAATATGCTATTTTGTCATCTCCTCCACACTTTTGTTTATGCAAAGGCCCTGCTGAATTACTGGAACTTGATGACAAGGAGCAACTAACCCTTCCTCCTTTCCTTCACTTCTATGAGAATTCTTTTAAAACTAGGTAACTTCCTGGGGCTGGAGAGATGGCTCCATGGTTAAGAACACTGGTTGTTCTTGCAGAAGACCCGGGTTCAAATCCCAGCACCCACAACAACTGTCCATAACTCCACTTCCAGGGGATCCGACAGCCGCTTCTGTCCTCCACGGGCATCGCATAACATGGGTGCACTTACATACATGCAGGCAATACACGCATACACATAAAAAAATTAAAAAATAAAATATTTTTAAAAACTAGGTAACTTCCAAAGAGGTCAGACCCCAGCCAATGCATAATACTCTAGCTTTAGGATAAGAATCTATCAAATTTTCTGCTCAGTGTGCTTGCTCTTCGGTTTTGGGGGGCTATGCTTTTTGTGCAGAAGTAAAGTTTGTCTTATCAAGATATCTTGAGTGGTGGTCTCTTCATTTATGACCCCAGTTTTATCTCTGACACTCCCATCTACACCACTATATCTGACATTGCTCTTTTAAGACAACAACTGATATTAGTATAAAATGCTTTTAGGCTGTATTGGACCTAGCTAACATTTTACTTTACTATTTGTTACTTGTTGACTCCTGAGATCAAATGACTTGGAATGGACTGTAGCAGACCTCTGGAGATTCTTCTCACCCTCTTTTAAAAGGTTTCATTGTGTGAATATTTTAATGCTAATGGGAGTATCTTGCAGATTTGGAAAAGTAGCTAAAGGAACAATTTGAACAACAGTGAGTATTTGTTTTTCTGTTTTTTTTTTAAGGTATCCTAGATGGGTGAAAAGGACATGCCCCCAAATCACAAGGATAATCCCAGTGCCGGGGAGGGATGGGGTTTACTTCTGATGAGCTGTTGGCCAGAGAGGACCCTGAAACCCCTCCCCCCCAATGATAAAGGCGATTGCCACTACTGTTGGGTACATACCAGAATTAAAGGAGAAGACCCTACTGCTAAGGACACTGAATGCTTTTGTTTGCAGGACACGGAGCAAAAAGTTGACACTGAGCTGAATGTGAAACCTCCCTGCTGGCCAGCTTTCATAGTGCTGGAATGTGTTGTGCAGGCTGCTGGGGGGCATTATTGCCAACAGCCCTACTCAGCTGTGGATTCTATATGTTACACTATGGAAGTGCCAGACAAGTAGTGTCAGCTAGTACAATAATACCAGGGATTGATTAGGGGTACAACTAGTAACTTCTGATTGGATTTTAAGGCCCACACCACAGGATGAAATTTCTATCTGGTACTATAAGCCAAGGAAGGCAAAGACCTGTGGTTAGGGAGGTCATGATCCCCAGTGGGGAAACAAATGCTACTTCGCTACTGGGTGGATGTGATGAGCCTGACATATTACCTTCTAAACATTTGTGCTTATGCCCCTAGAACACTGCTGCTGTCTTCACTGGTTGCAGAGAAGTTCTTACAGTGGGTGGTGGTTGCTGATGAAAAAACTCATTGCTTATGGGACTGCTGAAACAACTGACTGTTGTGAAGGCATGGCTGACGAATGCCCCTAAATCATAGACATACCACCCCTTCCAAGGCTCAGGAACCTTGCAGAAGCAGTAGGAAGAAAGAACGTAAGAGCCTGAGGAAAGGGTTGGAGTGCTGGAGGGCAGCTTTTCCTCTCTCATAACCAGATGCCATTCTTGGACTTTGTCCCATATCCCAGGCAACTAGAGCAGAGCAATACAGTGGTAACCAGGTTTTTGATAAAGGTAATGGAGCTACTGACACAGCCTAGGGAAGGATTTCAACTATTACTCCCTCCCTTACCACACCTGCAAGTGATCTTGGAGATGCCAGACTGTAGGAAGTAGAAGGCTACAAGGAGACCCTGTCTCAAAAAGACAAAACAACAACAACAACAACAAAAAAAAAACACCAAAATAACCCTGAGACTCCATGATATAGCTTCCATGAAATTGGTGAGACTTTGCAGGGATGTGGATATTGCGGGGGGGGGGGTACCCATGCTCCTGTAAGCAACCCCTCAACTGTAAGAAAGCCCAATAAATGCACCAAATTGGAATTTTGTGCCCATCTGGGGTAAATGGACTTCTGTTTGCATCTCCCCAGGAAAAGTTAATACAATATCCCCCATCACACACACACACACACACACAGAAAATTTTTTAAAAATTAAGAAAAATTGAAATCATGGTTCAGAACTTCAGAAGATAATGTAGATCGGGTAGTTTTTTCCTTTAAAGTCCAAATATTATTGGTTATTTTGAAATGTGTGTCAATAAACAGTCATATGGGTAGAAGGGCAAAAGAATATAAAAATAAAAATATGTATACAAACAAGGTGCTGCAGTTAGTTTCAACTGTCAACTTGACACAGCCTATAGTCATGTGAGAAGGGAGTCTCAACTGAGGGACTGTCTAGATCAGACTGGCCTGTGTGCTCATCTGTGAGAGATGGTTTGGATTGTTAACTGACGTAGGAAAGCCCAGTTCACTGAGGGTAGCGCCATTCCTTGGGCAGATGGCCCTGGGCTATAAGATAGCAAAGTGTCTTTCACAGAGTGAGTCAGTAAGCAGTGCTCCTCTACCATTTTTGCTTAAAGCTCCTGTGTAAGATCCTGCCCTGACTTCCCTCAAAGATGAACTGCGATCTGGAAGTGTAAGCCAAACAAATCTCCTCAATTGCTTTTGGACATGGTATTTTTCATAGCCACAAAATAAAACTAGTACATATGGTAACCAGAAAGAGACTTAACACTAAGTAAATATATATACTATAAGTATACAATAAAGCACTATAATGAAACCCTTTCTACACATTGTTGGGATGCTGTACTTTTGTTAACATTGAACTACAATTATCTTCATGTTTGTGGAAGCCAAGTGACACAGGTAACTCATACAAGCCATGAGACAGGTAGCCAACATATTACTTCATATTTCTCTCTAATTCAACATTGCTTTGAAATTACTTCACAGAGAGAACAGACCTAAACAATTAATGCAGTTGGTTTTTTTCCAGAAAAAAAAAAAAAACTTAGCAGAGTGTAGACAGTTAAATGTTTGATTTTCAAATGTCTTCTCCGCTTGAAGGAAATTAAAAGTCAACAAAACTGTGAGTATGCAGAACAAACACAGCAAGGAAAACAGACTTAAGACCCCGAACAGGCACATAAATGCTACATTGAGAATAATTTGTGACATGAACTGAGCTAACTTTATAATATTCTTATATAATCTGAATATGATTAATACAATTTGGAGGAAGGAATACCAGGAGAATTCTGCTTCCTGGTAACAAGTAATGCATACATATTGCTCATTTACTGCTTCTACTAACAGAACACAGACTTAAAAACATCATAGCCATGGGAAATAGAGTTTAATTAATGAAAAATATACACAGTCATAAATATCCTAAAACTTCAAATCATCATCACTCGTTTG